AAACCCTAAACCCTAAACCTTCTGCACAGAGCTGTGCCCGAATCACCTGAGCCCTACACCAGAAACCCAGAGAGCTGAAACCCCAGCATGCAAGAAAGAGAAAGGCTATGACGGTACTACAGGGGGACATTACGAGGGACACGCGCCAGAGAGTTTTATGTAGGGGGATACTCTCAGACCCTAAACCCTAACCGTAGACCCTACACCCCAAGCCCTAAGCCCTAAACCATTCAGTTGCCATTATCAGGGTTAATATGGGTAGCTCTCTAAATGAGTATCCCATTTAGGGTCCTTTTTATAAGGGTGCCGTACTATATTGCGGACCTAAAACGGGACCCCAATGTAGTAAACTACCCATATGTGTGCCTAAACCCTAAACCCTAAACCCGAACCCTAAACCCGTCAGGTAGCCAAGAAGATCAGGCCGTCGAAATCCTTCCGCATGAAGCAGAAGGCTCCTTGGGTTTAAAAAGCGGATGTCTATGGTGGGTTTAGGGTTTTAGAGTTTATGATCAGAGCCTGGGTTCAAAAAAGGGTTTTTAGGGTTTTGGGGTTTAGTAAATGGAGTTCGTTTTTTGTTTTTAGGTTTCGTTTACTGAGGGCTTCTGAAAGGTTTGGTAGGGCTTGAAAGGCTTTGCGAGGGGTTCTTGAAGGCGTTTTCTAAGGCTGGTTTGTTAAATGATGTTAAATGTATTGTGTCAGACAGGTTTCATGGGGTTTTCAAGAAACTTAAGATAATTGACCATGACATGGAACACAGATTTGTTGGGATACACAAACCTACTTAGGTACTTTATGCTAGGCTCCTCCTCAAGAACCCAGGGTTTAGGGTTTAGGGAGATGTGGCAGGGGTTTCAGGTTTGTTAAAGTTAGTGCTTTTTTGTTCTTAAAATTAGCGTTGGGGATTTAGGGTGTGGGTTAGAGTTTACCCATTTCAGTCAATGTGTGAACACTGTATACATACATACATACATACATACATACATACATACATACATACATACATACATATATATATATAAATATCTACATATGTATATATATATATACACATATAAAAATAAAAATAAAAATAAAAATAAAAATAAAAATAAAAATAAATATAAATATAAATATAAATATAAATATAAATATAAATATAAATATAAATATAAATATAAATATAATATATATATATATATATGCATACACGTACCTCTGCGTGCATACACGTGTTAACAGGTTTCTTGTTTCTCTGTGCCTTTCTGAAATCTTGAGAAGACCAGCCCTTTGCTTGCCGTTTGAGTCATCACAACCTGTTGCGCCTCTTCCGCACAGGAGTAGTTGTCTAACTTCGGGTCCCTTTTTAGGTCCCCAATATAGTACGGCACCCTTATAAAAGGGAGGCTAACCGGGACTTTAATTTAGAGAACTACCCACAGGCTTAGCGCAGATTTTTTGGAAGTCTTGCTAGTCTTACATGACCCCCCGCCCGTTCAGCAACACCATAACATCCGGACATGCTGCTTATAAGGATTTTAAAAGAAGTTTGGCTTTGCGGCAGTTTTAGCAAACTGTTACAGATTCGTGTTGAAGCGCATACGACACCCGCAAGACGGGTCAAGACAACAAAGACGCACGTTGGAGCACGACAAAGAGGCTGCGAATGTGTAAGGCATGCCTGATAGCGAGTCTTTTCTCGGTTTGACCGCAGACTCCACGAATCGAGTGGCTGCGAGGGTTACCCAGGATCGCTCCAGTAACCTATTAGGATGCCAGAGACAGGCCCGATTTAGTTTTCCTTTCTCCATGTTACATGTGGGTAGTTCTCTAAATTAGGGTCCCTTTTAGGGTCCTGTTTTTTCGGGGGCGGTGCGGGCCGTACTATATTGGGAACCTAAAAGGGAACCCGAATTTAGAGAACTACCCAGTGAGTCCTTCAAGTAAACCCTAAACCCTAAACCCTAAACCCTAAACCCTAAACCTAAACCCTTGGTAGCTGGACATTCTTCAGATGCAGCGGGCAAAACTATTGAGACTCACAGTTCGCAGCGTTTCCCTGAACGTCCGTGGCAGCGGCTAGGTGTCAACAAGAACTGCCGTTCCAGGGCACAGCAGCAATCTTCGGCTGACATTGTTTTGGGACCCAGCCGGAGATGTGCGGATACGAGGTGGAGTAGGAAACGAAACTCAAGGCTAAACCCTAAACCCTGAAGCCACGGGGAGCCCTATTACCCCTGAAGCCTTGCGCTCTCTGAACCGCAGGAGCAGGACCAGGCCGGGCAGTCTGTTGCCGATTCTCCGCCATGATCTGGACAAGGCTGGGAGACGGTTTAGGGTTTAGGGTTTAGGGTCGGATCTTGAAAAGCTTGGAATGAAGGCAGGTAGGTTGAGGGTTTAGGGTTGAGGGTTTTGGAAAGCCTTTGTGTAAATGCTTGTTTGAACTAGGGTTTGGGGTTTCGGGTTTTTTTTTCGTGTATTTAGGTATTAGGCTTTAGTTAAGGGTTCAGGGCTTTCAGGGTCAGGTTCTACTACACCTCATGGCCTTGCTGCCTTACTGCATCCTAGAAGGCTTTCTTTACGTTAGCCTAAGGTGAGCCACAACTGTCTGGTGCTTAGTAGGGAATGTGGGAATGGATCCCTGTGATAGTCCCTTAAGGTCCCTTATAGTAGTCCCTATAACCCATTCCCCCACTCCCTACTAAGCACCAGACAGACAATCACTGCGAGACAGCCTAAAACCCGACGGCGTGAGCTTGGCTCCCAAAAGAAACTATCACCTCACCGGCTCTGACATGAGGAACAAGTAGATTTACGTAGGGTGTTTAATGTCTATCACTCCGTCATGGGACGAACTTGGTGCTTTTCCAGCAGATCAGATTTGAATTCAGATTAATTCGGAAGTTCGGCTACACGCCCTTGAACAAGATTCCAAAGGCTCGTGAGGCCAATGGAGAGTGTGGGTAAAA